GTGACAACCTAAAGGAATAAACGTGACGAAAATTGCCATTTAAACTTGGGTCCGTATCTTAGGTCGCACCATTTCCTTTAATCGAATAATCAAAGGTGGAAAGTCTCACAATGTGTCATGTTTGTCCACTTAATATAGTTTTTTAAAATTTTAATTATAATCATGTCAAAAGATTTTAAAACGTATCTAAGCTTTGTTAATTAATAAAGAATATCCTGAATAAATATAAGGTATTCAGAAAAACTTACTCTTTTAATATAAAGCTGCATCTGTTGGCCAACCCTAATACATGTGTATATTAATGTATGGAAATTTTTATGTGTTGTTGTGTTTTTTGTTTTTTTTTTTTTTTATTGTATTTACTGTCCTAGGATGATAACTTTGAGCCTTTGTTTTACATAACAAAGACCAATAACAATTTGCCGAAAAATAGGGTATTTAGGCAGATCAATGCCACAACTCTTATAAAAATGAAAAATAAAACTACATTTATTATCAATATTGACTTGTTTAGCGTAGTAGCATTAGAGCAATCGTCTGTCAGTTAAATGTGTTTTACCCCGTACAGGCATAAGTTTCGACTACTGGTAAGACACATTTTTTTTACCTTCAGACTATCAGACATATAATGAACGTTCTGATCAACACAAATTTGTTCAGAAAACAAGTTGGACGCGTTTTTTAGTCACTATACATAACATGAATCGTTGATTTTTGGAATTTTTTTATTTATTACACTGCGATAAAAAAATACAAACAAGAAAATAGAATGGAAATAAAAAAAACTTAAATATCATTACTATATAAAAAATATTAATATTATTATAAGAAAAACAAAAAGGCCGAAAACGGAAAAAATAAATAAAGAATAATGAATTAAAAAAACAAGTAAGAAGAAAAAAATGTTGGAAAAAATGCACTTGGGGGGGTTTTGAAACCCATGAGTTTCAACAAAAAATAAATTTTTTACAATTTCTTCCCCCGACCTAAACCCGAAAAGGGGCCATTTTTAAAGGTTTAATTAACAAAAGAATTTTTGAGAAAAAAACTATATAGTTTTAGTAAGTATTTATATTACGATATCGGATAAAAAGGGGCCCGAAAAACCCCGTATTTTTGAAATTTCCCCATTAACCGGGTTAAAACCAAATTAAACTCTTAGGAAAGTACTTTTTTTCAAGTTTTTCTTTGGCCCCGGAGACAAAAAATTTTTAAAATTTTAATAAAATAAATTTACACTAGACAAAGGCTTCTTTCCCCTTTTGGGCGGGGGACCCAAAATTCAAGGGCAAAGAACGTACTTCATTGCCCCTTTGTTTGTTTCCCTTTAAAATTAACCAAAGTCTATAGAATTACAGAAAAACCATTCCGCACGACCATGCCATGTTATTTACAAGGTATTAATTTGAATATAAAAAACGATTTACAAATACATTACTTTTTTTTTCAAAGTACAAATTTGAATAGAAAAACGATATATAAAAGCATTATCGATTCTGTTTCCACAATGTTTTACAAATATAACAAAAAAAACTTTAAATATATATATATCATTATAGGGATATTGTTTTTCATATAAGCTTGTAGAAAATTACAAATATCTGGTTATTAAATAATTATAGTTAAAGATAACTGCTTTTAAAATTCTACCTATTGCATGTTTGTTCTGATGAGGAAGGTGCGGTATACAGTTGTTAATTTTTAATGAGTTGAATTGATTAATACGATGACTCAAAGTATTAACATTTCGCTTTGTTTCTTGTTTTTTTTTTGTTTGTTCAGTTTTAGCATTCACCATTTTATAATTGAAAAAAACTTTCCCCCAGAAAAACAAATTTTTTCCCAACCCTTTTCTCGCTAGTTTTTCCCTTTAAAACTAAAAAAAAGGGAAGGCTTTCGTCAGATTACAAATTGTTTAGATTTACGATTTGGTACCGGTTGTTTAAAGGGGAAAGATAAATTGTCAAATTTTTAAAAATTTTCCCCGCCAATTTGGGCCCCCGGTATCAAATCCCCGTAAAAAATCGTAAACCCCCTACCGTTTGGGGTGTTAAACCCACCGCAACCCCTTACTCTTTTTAGAAGTAGATGACGGGTCATTTGGGGAAAGGGTTACAACTTTAGGTTTTCTTTTCGGCATGAGGGAAAAATTCCCCCGCTCCCGTAGCAGAAAGAATAAAAAAAACCTAAGATACCCCCTACCCGGCCGGGTTTTTTTGGGTTTCGGGTTTTCATGCCCCGGGGAAATGACTTGGGCTTTTAAAAAAATAGGACGACTCATGAAAACCAAAAATAAATTTCCCCGCTCTCCTTTATCAGATTTATGATTTCCCTAAAAAGAATTAAATTGAATGTATTTTTACCGGGGTTTGATAAATTTTCCCCGCATTCTTTTGTTTTTTTTTTTCGTCGAGTTTGTTACTTTTTAATTTTAAGCGTGTTAGATTTATAGATAAGATTTATTTCGGCAAAATAAGCAATTTTAAATAGTTGACAAAATTTTTAAAAAAGGAAAAAATAATGAGCATAATTAAAAACTATTACATATGTTTGGATTGGTTGGAAAAAGATGCCCCTGTGCAAAAAATTTTTTTGATTTTAAAAATAAAAAATAAAAAATATTTCTTTAAAAGGTATACTTTGTTTTTCCGGGAAAAAAAGGTAACAAAAACCCAAAGCAGGTAAGTTAAAACCGCCCTAAGCCAAGAACGAACAAATGCAATGTTGTTTAAAAACTCTTAATATAGACTTTTAATATAGGAGCCAAAAATAAATAGTGTTGTTGTGAAATTTTGCTATGTTCTGTTACTTTAAATCCTAGATTTTCATTTTTTAGATATCTTTAAAAGTATGTGTTTTTTTTCCGAGATAGCGTCGATTCTAGTTTTTAAGTAATTAAGTTCAAGTACCCGGTGGCCAAAGACACTAACTAGAATAGTTTAAAGTTCTCATTTAGTAAAAATGCAGAAATCTTACAGGTAACGCGCAGTTCTCGGTGCTGAGTGGTAAGCCAACCAGCCAGTCAATTGTAGAGGATAGTGAGGAAATGTATACAGCTCAAACAATTGCACATGAACTTGGACACAGGTTTGTTAACTTCTAATACCAAAAGCACTTAATATGTTATATTTTTTGTTCTTGTTTTTTTTTGTTTCATTCAGTCATAGGTTTATACAATAGTAAATCAAAATCAATATACCCATGAAGGTATTTTCAATAGGTTATGTATTTTTGTTTTCCATTAGCAAATACAAATGTACATATGTACAATAGTTCATAGATTTCCTAATTAACAGTTTTAAATGTGAGTATGCACGTTTTAAAATTTCCATTATCTTGATATAATTATTTCTTTTGCAGTTTAGGTTGCGAGCACGATGGCACAAACAACACGTGTAAAGTGGGCAATGGGTTATTGGCATGGAGGCTATCCTATGTTAAAAAACAACAAGAATAAATGGATATTCTCGTCATGCTCCATTGATTACATCCAAGAATTTGTTAACCGGACAAATAGGTAAATTCTATAAGAAAAAAAAGTGCATTTTAATTGAAAGACATTGAAATCCCAAAGTTATATTTCGTTTTATCGGATAGGCAGATAATGAAAAATTTTAACAAGTGAACAGTGAGACGTCTTCAATTTGTACTATAAGGAGCGATGTAATGATGTAAACAAAGTGGGGTCACCATCCTAATTTTTGTTCATTTATCTGTCCCTGCATGTGAGTTTTTGTACTCTTTTTTTTATGTATTTTTCAAACGAAAAATAACTCAAAATCAAGCATACCGATACCTTATTTCTATTTCCTGAAACAAAACCTTTTAACATGAAAAACAAAGTTTTTTTTTCAAGAAATAAATGTACTGTGTAAACGTGCACGTGAATATAACCTAATGTTAAACTTCCTTCACAAAATAATTCCAAATACATTGTATCTAAAAAAAAAATCCTTTTTTTTATATTTTACTACAAAAATATATTTTTATGCTGAATAAAAAAATGTTATTTATTTTTTCAAAAAAGACTCCACAAAAACTGCTTAGCAAAAGTCAATGACCACCACCCTAAACCAGCTCTTGCATTAGCCTCACAAAAGTGGGTTGGGGAACTATATTCTGTGGATGAACAGTGTGTCATTGCCCAAGGAAAAGGCTCGTATATGTGCAGGGTATGACGAAACGATTTATTGAATAAAATAATAAGATATAAGTTCAACAATTGGCAAAATGTAACGCGTAGGATTTTACGCAAAAGTTATTTTTTGTGTCTTTTAAGCCGTGTATATTTTAATATATTATTTTATAAAAAAAGCTTTAATATAATGTATAAGGTATCCCGAAACTGACATCCCTACCATTCATTTACAATGTATTTTGTAATTACGAAAAAAAAGTTTTTTCTCAGTGTTTGATAGTGTAACGCAATACGCAATATTTCTACTTATCTTAGGAAGTTTACAAACAGAATTTTACGGAGTTTTGTTTGAAAATGTTTTGCTACAATCCGAAGGAGGATACCTGTTATATGCAAGATGGTGGAGATGGGACGCCGTGCGCTGCTGGGTCTGTAAGTATGTTGCATGTCAATACGAAATCGAGACATCGGTATGTTGTAAAACGTTTGTCATGAATTCACAGTATTTTATCCTAAAAAGGTTCTTTAAATGTCAGCTATATCAAACATCTCATCAAACAATATTGTCCTAGACATGCCTAAAAATGCACGCCTTTTTTACGATGGACCTCAAACGAATGCGTTATTACAAGTGGCATCCCTGGACTTGTATAAACATAACCGTGCGGAATACGGAAAGAGCCAATGGTTTGTAATTTCATGTACAACAACAGAAAAAAGAACAAAAAACAAAACTCGTAACAATAACAAATAATTCACATTTTATATCAGGTTATAGCAAACGAATTGTAATATTTAACAAGTCTTGAAAAAGGAGATTGAACGCTACGCTTAAGGATCTGATTGTTACCAAAAAGAGGTCATCTAGCTTCTGGTGATCTTACAATCAGCTAATTCATCACTGGCTTTCGTGTGTTTTAAAAGTGATGCTGTTTCTTAAATTCATTTACACATTTCCATGACCATACCATGTCAAAATTATTGTTCATGAGTTTATTTCCCGTTATTCAAGGTGCAATGATCATTACCTCATAATTTTACAACCGTCGGGTAAAGTGTTAAGAGATTATGATACCCTCACGATTATCTTATAGAAATTGACATTACAAACGTGTAAAGAATGAAACTGTGCCTCTTATCTAAGAATCTGTATGGTTAATGTTTATTTCCGTTTCAGTGGTGTGTGTCCAATAACTGCGTGATGGACAGTAGAGCCCCGTCATCACATGGTATAAAACGTTTCCTTCTCTGTTACTTAAATTGTAGAACAACAATAACTTTAATTCAACATACTGTGCTTCAAAAAATACATATTTTCACATTAAGCGTCAATTGAAAAAAGTAAATAAATAATCAAAGGAAATAATAACGCAGAGACCAGACATAAGAAATTAATGGCATAAAATTGTCAGTGTTTTTTTTATTGGAACACCCTTTCTTAAACTATATGTAATCATTTTGACAATTTACTAAACAATGCACAGTTTAATTTGATAACTTTTGAATATTTTTTACTTAAACTCGTAAGGGTATTACTTGATAAATGTTACAGATGACAGCTGTCCTTTCGGCGACGCAGAGGGTGTGGTGCATAACAACCTAACTTGTAAACAAATTGCTGCAACTCGTCCTAATGATTGTTTACGACAAAGCGTCAAACAGAAATGTTGTGTTTCTTGTAAAACTGCTCAGACCACATCAGTGCCGGTTGATGACCAATGCAAGGCGGCTTTGGGTCCCGACTCATACTTGTGCAGGGTATGCCAACTTAATCCAACCACTCTTTGTCAATCAACACCGAGCTCTGCGAAAGCACTCTGTGCACAAAAATTGCAAACGGCGTGGTTTTGATTAATCATGAACTTTGCGTTCATTAAACGGCGCCTTTCCTTGTTGATCTTGTTTATCATATTTTCCATGGCTATAAATCCGGTTAATCAACAGTGGTTGGCATAATGGTAAAGGAATGTGTATGGTACAATCTAATCAAATTCAAAAAGAAAGTTATATAACAAGCAAAGTATATATTGTTCAATCACGTATTGCATATTTGTGATTTTCATAGAATAAAAGTTAGTAAAACAATCCAAGTGTAAATGTATGACAAATAGAAACAAAAATATAATCTAACTAGATCAGAAGTTATAACAACTTATTTCTTATCCATAGCATCATTATTTTGACAGTACAAGTTTTGGTATAAAAATAGCTTTAAACTGTGAAATTAATTTCCTCCCTAAATAGAAGGAACGCTAAAATGAAAACATTTAAATTGTCCAGGTTATATAGTATCGACATATAGAACAAATTCGAAGTTATAGTTGGACAATTAAAAGTTATATTGTACAAAAAATTAGAAAATGACATAATTTATCCAGCTTATATCTTTTTTACTATTAATTTTCATTTTTAAAATTAATCACAATTCTATGGAACGCCATTGATGTCAAATAAAATTTATATTACAGAGTGGACGAAGTTATCGGGAATCGTCTTACGAAATATTATGTGAAGACCTTTACTGTTTAAATACCTCTGATAGCTGCTCATCTATATATGCTTATGATAAAACACCATGTGGACACAAAAAGGTATGTCTGAATTATGATCTTCGCTTCAGATACTAATCACAAACTAAAGTTTTTCTTTTCATTACGGGATTAAATTTGTTTATTCTCGTCTAATTGTGTCTATCTGACATTTCGTACGCTTTGTTTTGTAGACGCTCATTTGAACTTTCATTTTTATTGAAAAATAAAATGGCGAGCAATAAAATTGCAGATCTTTTAAAGGTACATGGACAGAATTGCAAATATAGTTATTATACCAAATAAAGTTTCAATAATTGCATCCTTACTGACTTAAAAAACTTAATAATATCCGGGAAAGAATATACTTCATTAACATTTCTACAAATCTCTGGGTTCTTACTACTAAGTTTTAAATGATATGATTAGGCATTAGGACTGTAATTTCTAATTTATTAACAGTGGTGCATAGACAGGAAGTGTGTTCAAGATTCTAACGCACCAGATGTGTCCGGTGAGTGCTCATATTAAGTCATTTATTTACGAAAGTTTTGTTTTAAATATATTCACAATCACATAATATAACACCATTCGAAAAGAAACAGCAATGTTGATGAATCATTAACTTTGTCCAACTCGCTCATCAATATTTTGCTTTTTGTCCCTTTAATGGCTTAAGTTGTCCAAATATTTTCTGTAGGAATAAGCGTAAAAAATGTAATGATATTTATATTCACATTTATACTTAAAGGTCAACTAGATTCAGTGTAGTATTCAACGAAAAAAAAGTAATTATCACATCTTTATTATATTTATATTAAATTTCGAAAGATGACTGTCCAGTGGGAGACCTTGACAATGACCCATCCGTTTCCTACAGCAATATGACATGCGCAGAAATAAGACAGCACGACAACAACTGGGCATGTTACAACAACTATACTAAAAGACAATGTTGTAAAACGTGTGAAGATGTCAGAACAAATTATAAAGGTAGTTATTTCCTATAGTTTCTTCGTTATCTTTATTAAGAACCATCACAATTTTGGTGATGTTTCTTGCCTCATGAATACTTTTTGTTACCAGGTCAGTCACTATAAGTCTGACATAATTGATATCAAAGGTCAGAAGCACCTTTTATTCTTTATTTGTAGATCTACATGTACATGTGTAATAATGAGAAACAATTTAAACTAGAGAACCCGTCTTGGATATAAAGGGCTTCAAATTATTTTATGATCAATCTAGATTTCAAGTATATAATACTTTTGTTATTTAGGATGTGAATATGGTGACAAACATGAGTCTTGCAAGGCATTGATAGCGTCTAACCCATCTAGTTGCTATCAAGGTGATAATGCCAATATTTGTTGCTCCTCTTGCAGCAAATACTATACACCATCTCAGAAAGGTATCACACTTACATATTTGTATTTAATCAATTTTGGACGAGATATTCAAATTCAAAACTCACTATACAAGCCCATAACGGTAAATCCATGTATGTCATTGTTTTTGGACAAGTTTTAAAATAAACGACAAGTCAAGATAGATATTAAAAGAATGTAGTTGAGGACGGCCATGAAGTTATTTTATTAAATTCTTTATTTTTCTTGTTAGTTTTTGAAATAACATAAACTTACTAAAGGTAAAATACATGTAAGGAGTCATTGGCATGACCGAGTAAGTTTCGCACTTAAGTTCTATCTAACCGGTATATATACGAGTAAATAAATTACGTGAGCTATGACAAAATATTTACTTTACACATTCTTATAGCATGCTATTGCTCATTACTTTGATAATGAATCCAAGAAATATTTTTTTACAATGTATGCTTTGATATTGTAATGCAAGCTTTTAATATTGTTTATATTAATCATATAAAACATACATAAACAATTGCGTTTTAAACACATTGCGCAAAACGTTTCATAAAAGAAATGAAATAAGTTTGCTAATACTTTCTTTGGTTTGTTATTTGTTTCAGGCTGTGAATATGGGGACAAAGATGTCACTGGCTGTGCAAACCTCATTAAATCCCGCTCTGATGGCTACCAATGTTACGGCAACAATGCTAACATTTGTTGTAGATCATGTGGACAGTATCTGAATGCATCAAATTCTGGTTAGTCAACAGAAAAGTATGAAGTTATCAATTCTGATTATCTTTAGCTTTGACAAAGCATGCGTTGAGATTACACATCTTCTTATATCAACTTAAAACTAATTCAGATGATGTAACGGCAGTAATTTTTGTATGTTTGTGGGATTTCAGAACAAAATTTTAGCAGTAGTTAAGAATCTGGTTAGACTGTACAAATGTGCATTATAGCCTGTATTTTGCCATTATCGCTCAACGATTAGCAGTTACTGTTTGCAAGGATGACTTTTTATATATTGTTAACTGGTTGACAGCATTTGGTGGATGCTGCAAGAAATGTCTTAAGTAACAAAAAAGTCCGTGAAAAAGAGACTGTGCAGCGTATTTGTTACAATGGTATATATTATTGATTTAAATGAGTCAGGAGATTTAACTTGCTATATTCATTCAAATTTGTCTTAAAACGGTACGAGAGCATTTAACAAGGCCCAGGGCGTAGGTTAGAGTATTCCAGCATTATATCAAATTATTTTCATCAAAGACAGGCCGCATTAGTTTCAGCATTGTCATGCGTTGTATTAGTTCAAGTAATGTCATATCAAATTCATAATGCCTAATTATTTCTTGCAATTCCATAACAATTCAGTTTCAGATAAGTCAAACCAAAAAATTACACCAACTTAGTTTTAGGAGTAACTAATGAATTAGTTCTACCTTATTACGCTTGTATGCAATACGGATTTCCGTGTCTATAGGATCAAATTCCTTGATTCGATACATGCAGGATTTGTGGCATGATATAGCCAGGTTTATACACCAATCTATATTTCATGCAATATTTCAATCTATAGGATGTGAATACGGCGACAAAAGCAAAGATTGTGCGGCTCTGATAGCATCCAAGGCAGATGCATATAACTGTTACGGAAGGAATGCCGATGTTTGTTGCGGCTCTTGTGGACATTACTATAACCCATCCCACAAAGGTATCTTATATCTGTTCTAGAACATCTGCTATATATATCTGCTATATAAAGATATATATAATCGGATCATGTGTCTTACACTTGCCAACAATACCCATGCATGAATACGTCATGGTTTGTTTAACTATGATACTAATTATATACTGTCAACATAATTATTCGTGGTATCACATACCTTCCATGAATGACCAATTCACCTTTTATAAATAAGCCTGTAATAGTATAGACTCCAAAGTTCAAATACATGCCTGGTTTTGGTTAACTTTGATTACTTAAAGTCGATCCGCAGGCGCACGGGCGTCTTTTCATTGGAAAGATTTAATAAATTTGAAAATTTATGCATTAATCTATTTTCACTCCACATCGAAAACGTGTAGACATTTACTGGAGATTTTAAATTCTAACGGTCCCTGCCTGTTTGTGTTTTTTCTGTGTATTTGATAAAGATCCCACTATTTCCTGGATAAATGTCCGTGGTTAAATTGATTAGTACATTAGCAAAGCTTAATTCTAGACGTACCAACTGGTGCTTTAACATAAAACTTGTAATTTGTATGAACTTGACAACCCTTGAATGTTTCATCAAAAACAAATATGGAAAACACTAAAATTAAACTGACAGCATCTGGATATGTACACGACTGATATGTCAAGCCCTTTTTAAACCTTCAAGTATCTTTTGCAGGTTGCGAATATGGTGATAAGTACCATGGCTGTGTGAAAAGTAAATGTTCAGTTTATACAGCTGAATCCAGAAAGACTTGCTGCGAAACATGCAAACCCTCCGTTGATATTGTTGGTTGAATTTACATCACATTTCAAATTAAACAAGAGCACCGCTAGGCGGAGCATTATATGCCCGAAATTGTTTTTTTAAGTAAGGATGAAGCATTTGTAAGACATGGGAATTAGCTGTTCATCCTATATAATTTTACAGCTGTAGGTTGATTAATACTTAAGTTATCAATAATGACCTTAACCGTTGACCTTGTGACCCCAAAATCAATAGGGGTCTTCAACCTAATATGGACAATCATCCTAAGAAGTTTGAATATTGTGGGCCAATTGGAACTTTAATTATGCTCTAGAAACTGTTTTCAGTATTAAGGTAAAAGTGACTTTGACCTTTGACCTTGTGACCCCAAAATCAATAGGGGTCTTCTACCCAATATGGACAATCATCCTATGAAGTTTGAATATAGTGGGCCAAATGGAACTAAGTTATGCTCCGGAAACTGTTTTTGGTTCTGAAGCATAACTTAAGTTCCATTTGGCCCACAATGTTCAATTGTGACCTTGACCTTTGACCTAGTGACCCCAAAATCAATAGGGGTCTTTTGCCCAATATGGACAATCATCCTATGAAGTTTGAATATCGTGAGCCAAATGGAACTTAAGTTATGCTCCAGAAACTGTTTTCAGTTTTAAGGATATAGTGACCTTGACCCTTGACCTTTTGACCACAAAATCAATAGGGGTTTTCTACCCAATATGGACAATCATCCTATGAAGTTTGAACATTGTGGGCCAAATGGAACTTAAGTTATGCTCCGGAAACTGTTTTTAGTATCAAGGTAATAGTGACCTTGACCTTTAAACTTGTGACCCCAAAATCAATAGGGGTCTTCTACCCAATATGATCAATCATCCTATGAAGTTTGAACATTGTGGGTCAAATGAAACGTAAGTTATGCTCCAGAAACTGTTTTCAGTACCAAGGTAATAGTGACCTTTACCTTTGACCTAGTGACCTCAAAATCAATAGGGGTCTTTTTCCCAATATGGACAATCATCTTATGAAGTTTGAACATTGTGGGTAGAATGGAACTTAAGTTATGCTCCGGAAACTGTTTTCACTTTTAAGGTAATAGTGACCTTGACCTTTGACCTTTTAACCCCAAAATCAATAGGGGTCTTCTACCTAATATGTACAATCATCCTATGAAGTTTGAAAATTGTGGGCCAACTGGAACTTAAGTTATGCTCCGGAAAGTGTTTTCAGTATCAAGGTAATAGTGACATTGACCTTTGACCTTGTGACCCCAAAATCAATAGGGGTCTTCTACCCAATATGTACAATCATCCTATGAAGTTTGAACATTGTGGGTAGAATGGAACTTAAGTTATGCTCCGGAAACTGTTTTCAGTTTTTAGGTAATAGTGACTGACCTTTTGACCCCAAAATCAATAGAGGTCTTCTACCCAATATGGACAATCACCCTATGAAGTTTGAACATTGTGGGCCAAATGGAACTTAAGTTATGCTCCGGAAACCAAATTGCTAACGGACGGACGGACGTACGGACGGACGGACGGACAGACAGACGCCGAGGGGTATAACATAATATGCCCTTTCAGGCATATAAAAAGGAAATGCAACTGTGTCAAGAACATATGTATTACTTTTGACAAAAACTTAGTGCAAATGGATATCTAAGCCTTTAAAACATCTGTAAAGTATCACGCGTTTTAAAGATATACATTGCTTATCTTTGGATAAAATACTTTTATTGCAAGAGTTTATAAAAACCCATAAAGCTGTCACTCAATATATTTCTAATTTGCACAGGAGAATGCACAACATATATCAGGAAAGCTGCATTCCCGATAACTGTTAAATTTAATTTGATCCTTTCTGAAAGGTCGACATTCCTCAGAAATAAATAAAAAAATCATTCTTTAGTAAGAGCAAACATTAGTTTTATAGCAAGTAAGGAATGCGTTAAAATTGGTAGACACCCACAAGAAGATAATTCATGCCAAATATCTAAGCTCTAGCTCTTTGGGTTTTTAGAAGAAGATATTTAAAGTTTTTTCTTTTGGTTGCAATGGCAATGGCAACCAGAGTTCTGCATGGAATTAAATTCTTTGAACAATTTTTAAAGGTGACCACCAAAGGAACATTCCAGTGAAGTTTGGATGAAATTGGCTTAGTTGTTTATGAGGAGATGTCATTTAAAGTAAAAGTTTACGGACGCCGGACGGACACCGGACAAAAAGCGATCACAAAAGCTCACCCTGTCACTTTGTGACAGGTGAGCTAAAAATCAATTGAGTATTTACTCATTGAACCAAAAAATATTTAGAGCCTGACTGATATATACATAAAAAATTTGTTTGACTTGTTTAACAACATGTAAAAATTTGAGTAAGAAATATATTTTTACCATTAAAACTATAAAATATTCTCAATGCAAAAAATAATAAAGAGTTAAAAGTTTATTACCAAGTGATGTATTCTTTAGTTGTGCACCAACATCTATGCCACATACAGGACATTTTTTTGCATCCTTTGGGAAACCTTTGATTCCTATCTCATAATAACCAGCCAATGGTCCAAACAAATGAGCAGCCAGAATAACTCGTATGTTATATAGAGGATATTGAATGAGTGAAAGTTCAATACTGAATTTATTGCACGAGTTGAATAAGATTATATTATGCGAGCCTCTGGCGAGCATAATATTACTTTATTCAACGAGTGCAATAAATTCAGTATTGAGCTTACACGAATTTAATATTCTATTTACACATACCCAAAATAAAGACCGTTTCAAGTGAAATAGGAGTCATTTTTCATTGACGCGCCTATAGTATAACGCTAACATTTAGCGCGTCTTTACACTATGTTTGTATAACGCTAATGACGTCACGTCAAAAAATATGCACGGCCGTGCAATACCATATTTACGGAGTCGCAAAATCGGCACGGGTGTGTGATAAATTCATTATATCCTTTGTTTTTACACAATGAAAGAAGACACTCCATGTGCTGTTCTGAAATTAAAATTAAAACAACTAATGCAGAGACAAAAATGCCCTCCATATCTAGTCTTTAATAGGTAGAAAGAATATGTAACCATCATGAAAGTCACAGAGAAATGATTTTGAATGGTATTTTTTCATGAATAAGGAAAATCAAGCAATGTGTTCATTAAGGACACTGATGCTGTACATTCCACAGTTTAGTCAGTCAAATGATGCACAGCAGAATTATACAGAGCAACAGATAAGGTGCGTATTTTACTATTTACGCAATTAAA